ACTCCATTTACAGTGTACCTTCAGATAATACCTAGCCATTATGCTCAGCTTCTTGTGTTTTGGGGATTACTACTGATACTGTTGGCAATGATGAATTGGTTCAGCTATTGCCTACTAAAAATGTCTTTATTTTGCTTGACTTTATAAAGATGTTTTTAAACACAGAATTCCAGGCTGACATATTTTTTTGTCTTTAATTGTGAGGAGGGCTAGCATAGGCAGAGGCTGATGAGTAGTTAGTTGGTGGTCTTACAGAAGGTGACAGCTGTCAATCACTAAGGAATCAGCAGTCACTGAGAACTTTGGCTGCTGTTGAGAAGCTGGCAGTCACTAAGGTGGTTCTGATCATTGAGAAATTGGTTGTCACTGAGAATCTGAATGTCATTGAAAGTCATCTACCAGTCATGGAAAACTTGGCTGTTAGTCACTGAGGAATTGGTTCTCATTGAGGAGTGAACTACCAACCGAGAAGTCAGCTGTCCTTCATTGAGAAGCTGGCTGACACTGATATCAATTACTGATTAGTAATTGCTAATTAGTGATATCAATCACTATTTAGTAGGTACTCAGCAGTCACCTGGGTAAACTTTGTTCTTTAGGAGCACACGTTTCTTCTGGATGCCCTTGCATTTTCCTTTAAAATTTTTTTTTACATTGTGTGTGTGTGTGGTATGTGTTTGTGTGTCTGGTGTGTTGTTTGTGGTGTGGTGTGTGTGTGTACATGTACCTGTGCCAGACATACATGTGAAAATCAAAGGACAACTTGTGGGAGCTTTTCTCTCCTCCTACCCTGTGAGTCCTGGGGATCAAACTCAGGTCATCAGGCTAGTAGCAAGCACCTTTTTCCAGGCCTGGCTTGTTTGGTATTTGTTCAATTTGGTGCTCACTGAACTGCATCTTTTATGCCTGCATTTATAGATTTGGGCAAATTATGGCTATTATTTTGTCAAATATTTTTTTTCTGTCCCTGAAAGGCTATCTGACCACGTTTCTTGGGCTACTCCCTTTCTCTACATCTCCTACCCATGCTTGCTGGAACTGCACGTGGATAACCTCCAGGCTCCTCCTTCCCTCACTGATTTTCTCAGGTGTGACTTGGTATGGTGTGAATTTGTCTCTTCCCACCAGCCCAGCGTTCATCTCATAGGCTCCGGATGGAGACCAAATGAGGATCAGCAGCAGAGCTGGTCAGTAACCACCTAGGCTGGTCAAAGTTGTCCATGATCCCAGACCTGAGCCGGCATCACTCTTGGGAAGGACCTGACAGCTCCTCCAGGCACACCAATTTTCTCTGGACCTTTCTATCACAACTGGAAAGGCTTCTTGGTTGATACAAGTTCAGCATTTAGGTTTTCCTGCCAAAACTGCCTGGAGTGCAGTGTGAGTTCTACTCATGACTGTTCATCTCCCACCCATGGCTACAGAACTCACAACACAGCCAAAGCAGCCTTGAAGGACACAGGGCTGGGCTCTGACATTGGATGTGGACCTGCAATTTTGGGCTGCCTTCCCACAGACAGACTGGTGCCTTAACTGAGGACTAGTTCACACTGCTAATCATGGCCAGAAAAACATTTGCAACTAAGGGATTAGCAACGGTTCAATGATGTCTAGTCATGCTCTGGCGACTGTGCTACTATTCTAAATGCTCCCTTTGCCTTTTCAAGGTTCTTCTCAACTCTCTGTATTCCTGCCTATGGCCTGGGTCTAGCCAGGTGCGTGACTGAAAAATACCAACACACAGGGCAGACCCCTCTCCTCCCTGCCATCTGACAGAGTCTTGGGATGGGCTGCCCTGTGAGCCTGGTACAGTGACAGTAACAGTGGGCAGAGGTAGATGAGAAGATTTTGAGGGAAGAAAGAGAAAGAAGAAACATTGTAATTAAATTACAATCTTAAAATCAAACAAAACAGTGGGCAGAGCTGCCCTGCACTGTGTGAGATCTACTTTGCTGACCTAGACTCTCTATGGCCCACATCTGTTACTGTGTTACTTCCTGAGATTCTGCTTCTCATTTCATACTTTTTTCTAAGAGCCTCAGCCCCCAAGACCAGAGGTTTCATCTCAGGACTGCAAGACATGTGCTGCCCACAGTTAAGACATCTGTCAACACTGGAGCTGCCTTTCCTGACTCAAGGCACAAGAGAAATGTGACTATCGGTTGGGAAGATTGGTCCTAAAGATGTATGAGAAAGGTCACTGTCACGAGACTGGATAGGATGCTTTTGGAGCCCAGTGGCTCTCCATGTGCCTCTTGGAATTGTCATGAATAAGACTGGGACTAAGGTGCTACCAAATCTGGGGCCAGGAGAGCACAAATAGGTCTGTATGTAAACACGCCATCATATGATGAGACAGGAACGAGGATGGGTCAGCTGTAACACTGTGCACTTGCTTGACGGGGCTTCTACCTGTGTGCATGTGTGCTGGGTGTGAATTTGCGCATCCGCTGGTGGACTGGTTACTCATTCTTTCCACTTCTTGGGAACCCCTATCATTTTAGACAGAGAACATCAGGAGTGGTGAGCAGTGAACTTTGAAACTCAGTTTTTCCATAAGGAAATGTTTAGATTGGCTCTTGACCAAACTCAGCTCATGCTAAGGTGGGGTTGAGCCTGGTGGAGTTCATCTTCCTGGGAGCAGGTGTAACATTGGGTTTATTTGTGTTTATGGGAATGACTCCAGTGTCGTGCTAGATGATGCACAGGAATGTAACCTGCACTCTGCAAAGCTGGGGGTGGGGGTGGGGTGGGGTCCAAGTGGTAGGTGCTGGCTCTCCCTACCCTGCTTTCATATGGAATCTGTGAGGATGCAGACTTCTTTAACAAGGCCTCTGGAGTGGCCCCATTTCTTATGTACTACTTGTTGCAGGTTGTTCAAACTCCAGCACGGCAGAACTGTATGATGAGACCAGCAGAGACCTAACCCTGTCTGATAACAAGTAGGGGGCCCCAACATTTGGGCACGCTGTTTGCCTGGTTGCTGTCCTGCATGTCTGTGGCCAGTCTGTGCTTGGAGCTGCAGTATCTCCTGTGATCTTGAGCAAAATGATTCCCAAACCAGCTCTGTAGGGAAAGCAAGCAGCTCATGTCTTGCTTTGAACCAAAAAAAAAAAAAAAAAAAAAAAAACCAAAACTGTAAACAAATCAGGCATGGTGGTGTTTCCCTTTAATCCCAGAACCCCAGAACCTGAAGGCCGAGCAGGTGGATCTCTGTGAGTTTAAGGTTAGTTTCATCTACAATGTGAGTTCTAGGACGGTCAGCTGGTGAAACCTTGTCTCAAAAAATAAGTCAAAATAAGAAACATTTTTAAACACGCCTAGTGTCAGAGTTGGCGGCCGTTTAAAAAAATGACAAGTTCCTCAAAAAGCACAAAAGAGAGGGATGGAAAGATGGCTGAGAAGAACACCCGCTGTTCTTCTGGAGACCTGAGTTTGATTCCTAGCACCCCCGTGGGCAGCTCCCAACCTTCAGCTGCAGGGGTGTCTGACCTGCAAGGGCCCCGCATTCATGTGCACATATACATAATTAGAACTGATAAAAAAGTAAGTCTTAAAACGCAGGATGTAAATAACACTTGTGAAGCAGTGTTAGGTTAAACCCATATTTTCTTACTCCATGGGGCCCAACCACACATACTGGTACCCCACAGCTCTGGTATACATCAGTCATTTATTTTTTGAGGGTAGTTTCTACATTTTCTTATACATTGGTGTGCGCGCGTCCATGCACGCACATCCATGCACGCGCGTTTGCGTGTGTCTGTGTGCGTGTGCTGCATGTGCATGTTCTTGTGCTTCTGGGACAACCTCATCCACGAGGCTAGGCTGGCTGGCCAGTCAACCCTGGGGATCTGCCTCTCTGCACCTCTCCAGCACTGGGATTATAAGCACACTTTACCATACCTGGCTCTCCTGCCCCTCATTCCCCCTGACACCACCCCAGTGGGTAATGGAGATTGACTCAGGTCCTCAAGCTCTGCAGCAAGCATTCACCTACTGAGTTACCTCCTCAGTCCTCACCAAACATTATTACATTCCAATCCCAGTTCCCCCTCCTTCTCCTCTTGCTCTCCCCTTCCCCCCACCCGCTCCTCAGAGAGGGTAAGGCCTTCCCTAGGATGTCAACTAAGTCTGTCCCATCACCTCATGAAGGCAGGACCAAGGTGACCCCCCCCCCCCATGTCTAGACTGAGCAAGGTATCTTTCCATAGAGAATGGGCTCCACTAAGTCAGTGGATTAGAGTTAGATCTTGGTCCCACCCTCCAGTAGCCTCATATCCTGCCCAAGCCACGCCATTGTCACCTGTACCCAGGGGTCCTAGTAAAGTCCTATGCTAGTTCCCCAGTTGACATTGAGGAGTCAGTGCTCTCTTGCTAGCTCTGGTCAGCTGATTCTGTGGGTTTCCCCATCATGACCCTGACCCCACCCCCTTGCTCATACAATCCTTCCACCCTCTCTTCAATTCGACTCCCAGAGCTTGGCCCAATACTTGGCTGTGGATCTCCGCATCTGCTTCCATCAGGTACTGGATGAAAGCTTTATAACAACTAGGGCAGTCACCAATCTGATTACAGGGCAAGGCCAGTTCAGGCACCCTCTCCACTACTGCTAGGAGTCTTATCTGGGTCACCCTTGTGGATTCCCAGGAGCCTCCCTGGCACCAGGTTTCTCCTTAACCCCACAAAGGTCACCTCTGTCCCAGTTTACCCAGGACATCACATTCTCTTCCCAGGGAGATCATTATGGTCCTCCTTGTTAACTAGCTTCTCTAGGGCATATTTCTCCATCTTTTATAGGATTTCATAGGATGATCTCCTGAAAAATGTGACAGAGAAACTACAGAATTGGCCTACCAGATGCAAAGACGTGTGTGTGTGTGTGACAGCGGAGCTCCTGGCTTCCACACATAGCTGATGAGCTTTCTTACCAGGCTAAGAAACACCTGTTCTCTTTCCACTAAGAGGCATTTAACATAACACGCTCAAGCCTGCAAAACTTTACAATGTATTGTGTTTATTTCACTGAAAACCTGAAGACCGCACCCCAAAGGAGCCTGCGGGCAGGGCGGGCACCGCCACTGCCCCTGCCCGCTAAGTACATTCACAGTTCTGACGCGCGGACTGAAGGTACTAGCAAGAGTAATCCGGAGAATGAACATCCGCCCCAGGTCTGCTCGGGATCTCCTCACATGCCCAATGGCATTCCATGGGAATCCTTCACTTGCAGATGGTGGGGCAGAGCCCCAGCCTCGGGACATCTTAGTTCATTAGTCTCCTTCATTGGCCTTTTAGTGGCTTTTCTCTTCTGAAAATTTGTACTCTATAATTATAAAAACCAACTGGTCGGCTACAAAGGCTGTGTTCACATTTCATTCAAACCTAACAAGCTAAGAGCCCAGAAACCAAGCTCTCTGCCCATCCTGCGGCAGTGTGGTGCTGTGTGGCTGAGGTCGAGGGGTTCTGTTTATGTATTTCTCTTGGGGAAGCACACACTAACACTTTCTCTGAGAAAGTTAGTACACACCTGTTCCTGCACTTAAAAAGCCTGGTGGTCATTTTTCTACAGTAATGCCTCGAATGTAAAATCTAATTTAGGAGTAAAAACAAAATTCCAAAGCAATCATTGCTTATGAAACAAACTAAAACTACGGTCTCTGTTGTGCTTTTAGGATGAGTTTGTCAAAAGCAAAAAACAAACAAAACTCCATGAAACCAGGCAATGCCTCAGGTGACAGTCTGGGCCCTCTGCCTGCCTGACTTCATGGGGGGCCAAGCACAGCAAACTGTGCAGTCTGTCCCCTGCAGCTGTCACCATGGTAACTGGTGCGGAGGACAGGGCCTCCTGGCCAATGTCAGTCTGTCTGCTCCGAGAGCAAGAATGACATCATAAAGGCAAGGGGACAGCTTTCCGTTCTTTTCCTCTGCTCGATTCTTTACTCACATTCAATGCTTTCACCATTTACATGAAGTAGATTTTGTTATGTGGAAACTGAAATACCAAACTGGCAATGCTTATAAAAAAAGATGGGGATTCAGGAAGGCTTAAGGAAAGCATCCTGGAGATAGTCTTTGTGGCTAAATGTCCCTCCCATGGACCTAAATAAGGAGGAGGGCAGAGAGAGCCTTTAAACTGTGGCCACCCGAGACAACCTCAAAGTCTATCAAGAACAAGTCTGGAAATAAATATCTGTATGTTAACACGAAAAATGAAGTAGAAAACCAATTTTCTTTTTTAAAAAAATGTTGAATGTTTTCCAAAGTACCCAAGTGAGGTTTATAAAATAGTCATGAGGTCCTGCATGGACACAGAAACACTTACAATCGGATGATGCCCCATCACGTGTGAGCCAGAGATGGCAGAGGCACTGACTCAGGACAAGGTGACTGCTCCAGGACAGGTGTGTGCAGACGCCTTGCACTGTGCACACCATACAGACAATGAGGGAAAAAGACTGACAAACTCAAGACCAGCAAATTCTAGGTGAGCACACAGCCATCCATGCCTGTGCCCACTCAGCCTGTGGAGTCCTGCCCCACAGGGAGGCCCGGAGCACCCGCCTGCCTGCCTGCCTGCCTGCCTGCCTGCCTGCCTGCAATGGGCAGGTGGGGTATGCACACAGCTTCCCTGCAAATGCCCAGCTGGGCCCTGAGACAGAAAATAAACACATCACAAGTCTTTCGGACTACGGGTCTGCAAACATACAGAGATGGCATGACAAGACAGGGAAACGTAGATACACAAACAGGCTCCAGACCACTGGAGGCAGGTGGTGATGCAAGAGGGACCTCGTCCCTCCAGAATCTTCCATTCTAGTCCACTTTCTTACAAAAATTCTTTCTCCCAAAGTCTGAGTTTTCAGGGCTGAAGTCAATGCAGAAGCCATTGGGAGTTGGTGCTGGGGGTGTTTGTGCACAGTTGTCGAAATGTGTCTGGTCAGGGTACAAATAGTCCTCCGCGAAGTCGGGGTACATTTCTGCAAACTTACAGAAGTCATCTGCAAAGACAAGGAAGTTGATTATTGGGACAGAGAGAGAGCACCCCCCCAGAAAGGTGAGTTTTATAAGAGATGCCATCACCCCAACACTGCCACCATGACTGGGAATTCCTCAGGCCAGGGACTAAGGGTAGGGCATGGCAGAGGGGCTCCAGATAAAGGTTGTGGGTGCTGGCATTACAGCCGAACCCTCCAGGAGAGCAGCTCCAACAGGGCTGGGGTGGGTGTTCTCCCTACCCCCTGCAAGGGTGCCCATGCCAGCTCCTCCCTGGTATGGGCTTTTAAGCTTGCTCCTAAATCATGGAGAGAAACTGGACCCAGGACCATCGTATACTTATGGGTGTCAGAAGAACCATTTTTAGGGGATCAGGTGCTACATGAGGAAAAGGGGGTAGCATGGTGTGTGGGGATGGGGCAGGGGCTCCATTCATAACACCAGGCCTCTGACACTCTGATTCCTTGCATACCTGAGCTGGAGTGCCCACTACATCCTACCCCTACTTTGGGGGTGACACCATTCTCCTCCACTTACCAAATGTTATTCTTCCCTTCTCCTCTTGGTCAATAGCCCGGAACAAGTCAGTCACTGTTAATTCTGATACACCCAGGGCAGTCTTGAGGATGCAGGACAGGTTGGTCTCATCTATGCTGCCATCCTCAGGAGATCCATACATCTGCAAGGGACATTGAAGAGTTGCCCTGGTGACCTCATTCTGGTGTTGGCCAGGCCTGGTACATTTTCCCCAGTGGCCCTGATCCCACCTTGTCAAAACAGCTGGCACCCTTGAGAGGGTGGTGCCTACAAGCACATGATTAGGTACCCGACAGTCATGCCTGTCTCCACTGGCCTCTGCAGGTCCCTCATGGACATTGCACAAACATGTCTTGGCTGAAACTTGGATGCTGTAACAACTGTGGGAGCAAAGCAACAAGTAGAGGGAGATGGAGCAGAGACTCAGCTCCAGCAGGGAGTAGCAGAGGGGCTCGGTGTGCCAGGGTAAAGCTGGGGCTGCAGGGTTCTTGTAGCAAGAACCAGGCAAGCAGAACAGTGTGCATCCTATGCCACCTAGTGGCCAAGGGATAAACTGTAGCATCTTTGGGTGATCAAGGGGACAATGTAATGAGGTTGTGAGGCTATGGTTTTTAAGATGCAAGGACTAAAAGTCTATACACATTTCTAACCAGAAAACTAGACTGTCTGGGAAAAAGGACTACTAGGTGTCCCCAAAAAATGCTATGTGAAAGTTTTTCTACAGGAGTGGCACTAGCATGAAAAGCAAGAAGGGACCCCCAAAAGGGTGGGAACATGTATTTGATTTCACCTCCAGGAGTATCTAGGAGTATACATGTTCTTGGTTCTTACTCATGGTCACAAAGCTGTTTTACACCTTGCTATTTGGCCCTAACCAAACAGCATGTAAGGAAGGTGTCCATTTCCTTAGACGCCATCCCAGAGTGATGCACAAGGAACCTAATGAACTCATTCACTTTGCAAAGACTTCCATCTTCCCAGAAAGAAGCCAAACCTTGTTTCAGAGCATTGCACTGACACCCTGTCACCATCAGTACTGGTGAATGTTCCCAGGGCCATTATGCCTTGGGGACAGCAGAACAGGATGGGTACAGGTGGGATACTAGGGGAGTCTGAGAGGTAGCAGCTGGCCCAAGGAGTGCAATGGGACATAGCTCTCTGGGGGCACAGTGAACAGGTGTCTGCTATCCTATCACAGAGGCGATGTGGCCCCAGAATGACCATCAGGATGCTCGGCTACCTACCACACTTGCTCTGCCAGGCAGCTGTGACAGACTTGATGGCATTAGAGCCCAGGTGGGGATGAGCCATCAGAATAAGGACACCGTGAAGATATAGGAGGGTCGGGCTTTTCCAAACAGCCAGCGAGTGTTGACACCACACAGTTAACTCTCCTGGAGTGACCCACATAAGCAATGCTGGCAACTGGGGAGAGTTCCCAGCACTGATCTGGCATGGCACTGGATAAATAAGAACTTTTGGAGAACATGAGCTATGAGGGTGTCCCTGGTGCCCTCAGAAAATCTTGACTAAGAGGGAAAGAACCACCCTGAATGTGGGTGGCACCATCACACCAGCTGTGACAAGCTGAGCTCCATCCAGCACTCCTCTAGCTTGGTTTTCTGGTTGTGACTGCAAATCAGCCAGCTGCCTCACATTCCTGTTACCATGCTAGGCAGCGGTCCCTCAAATGATAAACCAAAACAAATCCTCCCTCCTTTAAGTGACTTAAGATTTACTATTTATGTGTGTGTGTACATGAATGTGTACATATGCACCATGAACATGCAGGTATCCACAGAGGCCAGAAGAAGGAATCATGGTGTGGTTGTAAGCCACCTGACGTGATGTGGGTATTGGGAACTGAACTCGGGTCCTATTCGAGAGCAGCAAGTGCTCTTAACTACCGAGCCATCTTTCCAGTCCCTCAAGGGCCTTCTTGTTAAGTATTTGGTTATAGTGATGGCAAAAGCAGTGAATACAGAAAACTGGTAACAGGAGTTCTTAGGCATTTGGAACTTTAAAGGGGGAGATTTTCAGGTGTGGAGATGCCCGCTAGGAGATTATTTCTGGGCATGCCTGTAACAGGTTAACTGAAGAGGGAGATAAACTTTGAATGATATGATGGCAGCCAGTAAGCTGGGGGTCTCAGACAGAATAAAAGAGGAAAGGCAAGAATTCAGCCGAGCATCAACATCCATCTCCTGCTTTCTTACTCCAAATACAACACAACCAACCGCTTCATAGCCAAGCCTCCTTCATGACTTCCACACTACAACTGTATCTCCTCAAACCATAGCCCCAGGTGAACCTTTCCTTCCAGAACAGTCTTCTTGCCAGGAATTTGTCACAGTAATAAGGAGAATAACTAACAGATGCACAAATCCCACTCAAGGGATCCACTTGCCTTGAATGCCAGCTGGATGGTGGCTAGGGTCTGGGACGGCCTGCACACCACAGATAGGGCGACCACATACTCACGGAGGTCTATCTCAGCATCGCCACTCTGCAAAAGGGAAACACATTCAAGTGATGGCTTGGCTGTCTGGATGTCAGAAGGGACCTTCTGGCTAACTGGTTCATCCCAGGCTGACTTGGCAATATGTAGGCGTGTGGAAAGTGTGCTTTGAAAGATGACTCCCAGGCACACCTGCTAGAACCCCAGTCAACTTTCAAACGTGAAGCTTTGCCAGAGAGCAAACCAAGGCCTGCCCGCACTTACAGAACAGGCCAGCCAGTATCTTTGTGGGACTCGCTCCACTGAGGGCCATCACACAGTGACAAGACAGAGGTTTTGCCTCAAGTTCCCGGGTGGACCTACCTCATCAAACAGTGAGAACATGTCCTCTAGCGCATCTGAGACGGGAACCTCCAAGTAGGCTGCGAACTCTGGGAGCCCAATCTTCTGTCCTCTCTTCATCCTAGCACTCTCTGAGTATTTGTCTAGATCTTTTTCAAGATTTTCTGGTTTCAGTCTAAATTAAAAAAAAAAAAAAAAAAAAATCAGGGAAAGATTTATTGATAAAATCATAGCACAGGAAACTATGAAGCTTGGAGACTTATTAAAATAAAATTTCTTGACAAGCAACAAGTTCGTTTCTGAGCCTGGCACATCCTCAGTTTACAAGGTGCCAGGTTGTCTCTGTGTCTACCTGCCTGCCCTTGGGTATGTTCCCAATATGGTAGACAGGGGCAACACCCATACACACAGCTGGAATCCAGCAAGGTTCTTAAGGTCCTTCTATGTGGGCTGCAGATGACATCTGAAACCCAATGTAAGCAGAGAAAGAATTCTATTACAAGTTCCTTGCAACCTCAGCAGCACTCAGTCCTAATGAACACTTGAGAGCCACAGGAAACTCACCCAAGGCCCCTCACGAGCCTGGCAAACTCTAGCAGACAGGTGTCAGCAGGCAAGCGGAGTTGTCCTTCTGCCAAAGCCAGCTGGCAATCCTCAAATGTGTAGTCGGTTACCGAGACACCCAGGGCCCTATAAGAGAGGGATCCTTTCATCCAGCCTGCCCATACCTCTGGTCCCCACCTCGCAGGAGCAATAATCACACAGCTGCAAGGGAATAGGTGTCAGAGGGTGACCAAGGTAGACAGTTCCTGAAGGCCTTCAGGGGACCAGTCACTCTAACTCCCAAGCCAGGAGGAAAGCCCAGAGGTCACCAGATGCACTGGAAGGTACGGGACACCCAGTTCTCAGGCACCAGGTTAACGTGGGCCTCCCCTCGGGGGAACTACTGAGCATCATCTCATACCTCTGCCTGCATGTCTGAGACTACGATGGGTGTTTCCCCCATCCTAGGGTGTTGACAGGAGCTGTTTTATCCATGTGTAGAACAGGCCTTCACTTTGTCTCAGTGCGCTACTATTTTAGCCACATAAAACATTATTTGTAACTTATATATTAAAAAATTTCCTATGAACACAGACAGAACCCAAAGAGTGACTATCACTTGACAAGAACAAGGGAGTTCTACTGCATCACACATGCAGTGAGGACAATGGCTGGTGATGATGCCCAGACAACTGATGGGACACTTGGCAAAACTACTACAGAAGTACACACACCAAGCACTCAGGTTAGCAGGAAAACCCTCTCAACTCTGGTCCCAAGGCTCATCATGTTCTGTGAGCCCATTTGACCTCTCTCTAGGTGCACGCCATTGGCATCCAGCAGAAGATCCAGGCGATGGTGATGGCATCTCTGGGAAGCTGGCATGAGCTGGAAGGGAAGACTACTCCTCTCGGTCTGAGGGTGTGGACAGCTCTGCCACCATGTCATTGAGCTAGATATACACAAGCAGGAAAAGCCAGTTTTCTCTCTAGGAAGCAGGTCCCTCCCCCATGGTCTGTCAATGGGAACTTGGAGGGAACCACAAAAAAGCCCCAAACAGGAACTGACATCCTTGTAGCTGGAATAGTCCTCAAAGGCAGCCAGGATGAGACTTTTACATGAGTGATGAGAGATGTCATTCTGTAAATATGTTTCTTGTATTGGTTAATGAATAAAGCACTGTTGGCCAATAGGAAAGCAAGATAGGAGGGACAAGGAGACAAGGAGGAAAGAGGAAGTCGTAGAGAGGAGATTCAAGATGGAAGACGGGAGAGAGCAGAACACCAGCCCCTCTTTCCGGTAAGATAAGACCATGTGGAAATACTTAGATTAGTAGAAATGGGTTAATATTTAAGACAGCACTAGCCAATAAGAAACTAGTAACTGGCCAACAGAATTATATCTAATACAGCATCTCTGTGTGTTATTTGGGGCTGGCGTGGCAGTGGGACCAGACCGGCGGCGGTGGAAAAAACCACTCTTAACATAATGGCGCCTTCAACGTTGCTAAGATCTATCACTTAAAACTTAACAAAAGCTTAAAATGGTTTTAGAAACAAAACAACAGAGACAACCAAGGCTTCTTGGTAGCAGCATTTTTCTCAGTTGGGCTCTGCTCTGCTAGAGACAAGAAGAGATTTGCATGGCTCCTTTAAGGGAGGTTTCCTGACTCAGCATAAGCAGCAAAAAATCAAAAAACAAAACAAAACAAAAAAACAAAAAAAACACAAAATCAAAACAAACAAACAAAAACCGCAAGGCTTTAAAAGAGCTCTGCTAACAACTGAATGGTGTGTACAAGAGCTGGCAATGGCAGTGACCACATCTCCAAGCCAGGAACATGCTGCTGGATGGCAGCGTAGACCAAGGCAGTGAGCACAGCTCTCAGTTCTGGCAGTAAAAGTACCCACCACCATCTTGGATAGACCAAGGCTAATACAGCTGTGGCTTTCATTCTAGCAATATTGTTGTTTACCAAATAAAAGACTCATGGCCAGAAAAAGATAAAAATTTACAGTGAAGACAGATTCACATTAAGAAAAAGCTAAAGCTTTACAGTGTGTTTTAAAATATACGTAGGCTTGGAAGAAGAAAAAGAATAAAATGGTTTTAAAAAGACAGAGTAGCCGGGTGTGGTGGCACATGTCTTTAATTCTAGCACTTGGGAGACAGAGACAAACAGATCTCTGTGATTTCAAAGTAAACCTGATATACAGAGTTAATTCCAAGACAGATAAAAGTTATACAGAGAAATCCTGTCTCAAAAAATGAAAAAATAAAAGTAAAGAAATAGAGTAATAAAAAAGCCACGTAAAGATGGAAAGCACAGAAAGAATCTGGGTATTATATTGTGTTTGTATCGTTTGACAGCTGAGGAAATAACAACTTTTAAAATAAATACTACTGGATTAATTCAATTTATATATTTTAAAAATGCTTTAACTCCAAAATTTAAGTCTAAGGACAGGTTACTGGGGAAAAGGATTTCTATTTTTGTTTCCACAGAAAATGAAAAGCTATGGATTCCTTCCAGACTAACATGGTTTGATTAAGCAAGACCCCCTAAAGCAATGTCCCAGGTGACCCAACATTCAAAACAGCTGGGACAAGGCAGCCTTGCAGATCACTACAGTTAGGATTTCTTCGTCTTCTTAGGATCACAATGACAGCGCCCCCTACCAGCAGGAAGTAGTTTGGAAAGAACGACACCCAAATTCCCAAATATTGTTTATAAATGTTTGTTTTCATTTAAGTGGGCTTGGTTATAAATGGTTAGTGACCACAACCAATCTTTTTAAAGGTAAAAAGGGGATTATGGTATAGATATGAATACTTTGTTTTGGAATGGATTTTCATTTATTGATACATTTAAGGTCAATTTTTCGATATGTGTATTTCTCCTCTTGTTTACATATTGTGTTTATATAGCTCATTTGGAAATGTAATGTATAATTTAATACAGCTTATAGATAGTTACCTATGATAGTCAAACTTGTATTTAAGTTAGTTAGGTTTTCTAGATATACAGAGATATATTTCAAATGGATAGACATTCTTCAAACCTTTCAAAGACCTACAGAATATGGCATTTAAAATGGTTTAGGGTTTTTCTTGACAATGAGACATAACTGCTCCTGGCAACACCACCTGCATCAGAAAGGAAGATGGACCTTGAATAAAGGCGTTATAGAGTTTGCTTTCAATATGGGAAGACTAACTATTTGGGCATTTGCTCTCGTTCTGGACTGTTTGACTTTATACTGTATAAACTGGACATGCAGGACCCACAGGAAAGTGACTGCTGATACAAGATGGACATTTGCTACAGAGTTCCTGCTTCATGGAAGAGTCTGCCAGACAGTCTGCAGGACACAGAGAAAAGTGACTGACAAACTGCCACTACAGATGGACAGTTTAAAGATTCCTGCTTTGCTGAGGAGTCTGCCAGACACACTATGGTCTATGGGCTGAAGATGGAACATTACAGAAGAACTTCGGGTGACTGACCAGGCAGTGAGTTGTCTCTGTCATTTCTAGAGTTTATATTTTATCCTTTTGTGGTCTTTGATGGCATTGAAGACATTATGGTTATAGTTTTCCTTAGTTAGGATTAAAGATCCTTAGTTAGGATTAAAGATAAGTTACATTAGGATTTTAGACTAACAAAGATAGGATAGATGATGGAATATTTTCTTTAAATCTTGCTACATATTAATGGACTAAATATTATTAATTGTGATTGTTTGATAACTGTTAACTATGGTTCTTATTTATAACTGTTTCACTATATATTTTACTATATTAAAGTTAAAACTCTTCATTTTATTTTAGACAGAAAAGAGATGATGGGAGATGTTGTTCTGTAAATATGTTTCTCATATTGGTTAATGAATAAAGCACTGTTGGCCAATAGGAAAGCAAGATAGGTGGGACTAGGAGACAAGGAGGAGAGAGGAAGTAGTAGAGGGGAGATTCAAGATGGAGGACTGACAGAGAGATCACCAGCCCCTCTCTCCGGTAAGATGAGACCATGGGGAAGTACTTAGATTAATAGCAATGGGTTAATATTTAAGACAAAACCAGCTGATAAGAAACTAGTAACTGGCCAACAGCATGACATCTAATACAGAATCTCTGTATTATTTGGGGCTGGCACCTGCAGCGAAAAACCTACTCATAACACATGAGCTCTAGAAAAGAGGAAATAGGCTATGGCCAGCAAAAGCCTTGACTGAAGCCCTGGGTGACAGTGCTGAGTCCCCAGGGGAAGCAGTGCTGAGCATTGAATTCCCACGGGTGGCTATGCAGAATGTGCAGTCCCACGGGGCTATAGTTACACTCCACAATTTGCATTGGACATGTGTGCTTGACTGCTATCTCAAACTTCCTTTCCTCTGCACACAGTCTGTCCAGATCTGCAGCTGCTTGTTCCTGTTACACATCCCATTAATACCATGCATGTCTGCAGTCTGCACAACTGCAATGTGTGTGTGCTCTGCATTCAATCCGTGAATCACAAGCACTCAGAACTAATGGGTCAAGAGAAGCCATACAGAATCATCCCACAAGCCCTCTGCAAGAGGCCCAGGTCCTGTTCTAAGAACTAAATTGCATCTAAAGGCTAGGTCAGATTTTATGGAAAAAAAAAAAAAAAAAAAAGAAAGAAACAAAAAAATCCCCAAACCTCCATGTATTAAATACATTTATGGAGGAAAACTAATTAAGTGCATTATAGAAGAAATCTCATTAAAACTCCCTTGGGGAAATCTCCTTAAGAAAAAATGGGCTTTCCACTCTTTGGGGTTATTGGTCAGGGTTGTCCAAGAGGCTTCCAAAACACCATAAGCTACTGCTATTGCCCTTGGTTGTCCCCAAAGGTAGCAAGTAAGTCCCTATTGCTGCAGACACCAGGCATTTTGCATACAGGGCCCACACACCCAGGTGCAGGATCTAACCTGAAGCTTCCTTCCTGAGAACTAGCTTCCTTGGTACCAGAAAATATCTTGCAAAGGGACACAACCATCAGTCCTACTCAGCTGTGAGGCCTACAAACCACTACACTGACTAGCATGGCACTCTAAGGATGCAACTAAGGGTGCAGTAGTGGCTCACATACCTTAGTGATAACCAAAAGCTTTATAATTGTACTTAAGACCTGCTCAACAAGAGGGAAATCATGGTTGGTGCTGGAAACTTAGCTAACTACCCAGGGCTACTGCAGTCATAGATTCCAAAGAACAACTTATAACTGCCACTTTACTAAACTAACATAATCCCTGGTTATATTTTAAATATTTGTCCTTATACCCACAGATAAGTAAATGTAATCCTCAACCCTCATCAAAGAAACTTCTCTTTGCCAATTCAGACTACTATAGAAAACTACTACAACCAATCAAAATACAGAATTGTGGAGCTCAGTGCCAACTGATACATATACAACACAACTCCTAAGGCTCAGGAATCCCCGGGTTGGGGGAGGGGGGAGAGAAAGGTTGTAACAGCCAGGAGCAGGAAGTTTGCTCTAAGATTCTATCTCTAAGCAATATTAGAGAAGCTACACCCATGAAACCTCATCAACATAGACGGTTAAATATGATCTGAAGAAGGATGACACCAATAATATGTCAACATGGGGAAAAGCTCAGGAGGGTTCCACCTCACACAAGGAACTACTGGCAACTAAAGAATGCCGAGAGTCAGAGAAATCGTTTTCCCAGGGAAAAGCACACCGATTGGTTATCCAGCGTCAATCAGCGTGGCCTGAAAACATACATACAAGAAACATCATAAAGACACAGCAGGCTGTATTCATGTGTTTAGAACACACACATACACAGCAATTAAAGGAAAAGAGGCCACAAGTTTGAAAGAGAGTAGGGTGGGAGGGCACAGGGGAGGGTTTACAGGGAGGAAAGGGAAGGGAGAAATGATGTAGGTATATTATAAACTTCAAAAATACTGTATTACTGAAAAGATTTTCATACATTTCAATCATGTTTTCCCCTTCCCCCAACCTCTTCCAGATCCTCTCTACCCACCCAACTTTATGTTCTGTCTCTCTCTTTCAGAGGAGGAGGAGGAAGAAGAAGAGAAACAAAAAACAGAAAATGGGCTACCCCTCACTCCCAGGCAGAGAGACCTCAAAGGTTCCTGGAACTGCCATCGGCAAAGGCTTGAGTTCAGCTCCACTGTACACAGCCCCTTCAGGGCAAGCAGCAAGGCTGGCCACTTGAGGCTGCAATGGTGGTAGTGGTGGTGGTGGTGGTGGTGGTGGTGGTGGTGATGGGGGCAATCACTGTCTGGTACTTATGAGGACTACTCTTAGTATACACATGGGAGATAGGGCTCAGAAGGTGGAAGGGAGTCAGAAAGGGAGGGCACATAGGTAACATGATTGTTGTCTAGGCTAGCAGGAACCAGAAAGTGAAAATTGTCAACTGTACACAAGAGTCAGGCGGCAATGCAGCTCACCTTAGGGGATTAAGCATACAGACACTATGAATCCTCCAGCAGAGGGAGTGAGAGTGTCAGCAAACAGTCCACAGGCTGAGGCACCTGTGACCTGAGGCTAACACCTGCCCAGGCCAGTGCATGCCCCAGAAAACACCCAGGATCACGGATGACTATGGCAGGTTTGAAACTTGCGAAATGAAGCAAAGATTAAATATCTTTTAAGTGTTAAACAAGTCAAAACATCATCAGATAAAAGTGGGAGACACAAACCCAAGGTTGAGCACACCACTGCTAACGTATGCAGGACCTGCTTGTTCACTCTTGTATAAACCCATTTCCCCGCACCACTGGCATCTGCTCACTTACTTGGCCATGACACGCCTCACATTGCTGGCATACAAGGCAGGATTCCTCTTCTCCTCCTCAGATGGGCAATACACGGGCAGGAACTGAGGACAGAATAACTGTGTTATCTCTGTTAATACAAAACACGGATCCCACCAGTCATAAATGGTATCCGTGTGACAACATTAAGACTGGCAGAACCCCTCTCCTCTGGGATAGTCTAACTATGCCCGTGCACTGCTAACCTCGAATACCCACTGTTCAGGTCACAATGTCAAGTTCCTAATCACAAGCATGTCTCCATCTCTCAAAGACAGTTTTGTGTTTAGGATTACACAGAACAGTACTTCTGCAGTTTCTTCACCTGAAGCCCTCCTACTACGTCTCTGTGATAAATCAGCTTAAAATAAAAGAGCATTTAAAATGACTTAGTGGCCCATGCAGGTGCCAACTCTACCAGCATCAAAGGGCAAAAGACCGTCCCTGATTCCTGTTCTTAAATAAAGGTATTTAGGAATATAGGAGCACCCTAAAGCCTGTCAATTCCTACTATATGCATATAAGCTTTCACAGTTACATTTTACAAATTCCTAAAATTACAATGATCTCTCAAATTAACACTGGCACCATATACCAGTAACGTGAAGGACACATAAAGCATATCGCAGGACTTGATTTTTCAGTCTTTTATCTTAAAATGAGAGACCAGGTCTGAAATAGGCCTGCTCAAAACCACAGGGGTTACCAGAAAGACAAGACAGTGTTCCTTCTCAGGCCTGGTTCTGCTGTCTCCTGGCAGCTGACAGAAGAGCTACCAAAACATCCACAGCAGAACCCACACTCTCTGGGCTAGGCTCTTTGTAGAAGCCACAGTAGCATACCTGTCCATTTTGAATGGCTCTGTAGTACTGATGGCAAATGAGCAACTGTTTCACCAAATATAAAGGTGCATATGGCTCATTTCTGATTTCAGATGCAGGCCCATCAGAATTCTTTTTAGTTTTCTTTTAATTTTTAAAAATCCTGTCCAGGAGCTAAAGAGATGATCCAGCAGTTAGGAGCACTTGTTGCTCTTGCAGAGGATCTGGGGTTCTGTTCCCAACAGCCATATGGTAGCTAAGAACTATCTGTAATCCAGTTCTAGAGGATATAACAACCTTTCTGGCCTCTGTAGGCAATACACACACTTGGTGCACAGATATACATGCAGGCAAAACACCCACACACACACAACAAATGAACAAATCTTTAAAAAAAAATTCTATGCAAATATATTTAAATGATACAAAGGACATAAAACCAGAGGAAAAGTGACCAGAAAGTTTTTCTAGGACCCAGACAAATAAAAAGATATTCAAGGACAGATAAGTAACATTATCTGCACAGATTAGATACTGGGTAACTATCTATACCGCTCTTGGTTTAAAATTTTTAACAATGTATCAAGCTGATTCCAGTGCAACATTGTATGATACTCTGCCAACACTGTATCCATTCTAGGTTAATGTTGTAACATTATAAATCCGGAAGACCCCAGTGTAACACTGTGTAACATTGTATCTCTACAACTAGGGTTAACAATGTTGTAACACAGATCCCAGTATAGCACATTGTATCCATACAGATCCCAATGTAACATTGTGACACAGTGTAGAGCCCCAAGTCTAATACTGTTCAAACAGCATCATTTCAGACCCCAATGGAACCCTGTATCTCATAAACCACAACAGAACTGGCCCCTGGCCAGATACCGCCCCACGCCACCCATACTGCACATTGTCCATACTACATAACATTACGTCCACTCACCTCAATTTCCACTTGGTTCTGAAACTGACACAGAGTGAGCCACAGGATTTTCAACCTTAAAAATAGTGTTGAATAATTTTACAACATGGTTAAAAAGTAAGGCTCTAATTCTTGTAGCTGAATGACTCCAAATTCTGCCCAGAGCCTCTAGGAGGGGCTGCTGGGCAATAAAGCTGGAAGGAAGGGGAAACTTTCAAAGGTCTAAAAAAAGGACAGTGTAAGTAATAGGATGTTTTTATTAACTAGAGAGCTCACTTTTTTTGGTCATTTTCTTTGGTCTTTGGTTATTCTATAGAGCCATAAGGCTTCCTTTACCCTCCTGTTTTGACAGTCTGTTCTCCAGTTCCCTATGTAGGCAGAGCAGACTTCCAGCTTTAAGTCATGCCATGGCTTGTTCACCTGATTTCCAGGGTCCTGGATTTTTGGTGCCATTGCCACCACTTGTCTGAATGAATGGAATTATAGAGCTACCTGGAGTCCCCAACCTAGTAGAGGCCACATCCTCTCCTCTCTCCTTGGCAGTCAGTAACCCACTAATGCTGAGCCAATCTTTTTCTGCCCCAACATGCCAATCTGAGCACAGGACAAGACCTGGGAGCCAGGTTCTAAGTAATCCTTCCAGTCCACCCCCTCCTACCTGGTGGTTTGACATCACCGCAGGGGCACTTCCCCAGCCTGTGCTACAAATACCTTGAAAGGCTTGGGAGGGGCTGGTATCTGATTTCACTTCCTCCCTGAAGCCCCTGAGGCTATTTTGACCCTGGCTGGTTCCTCCTCCCTGCACACAAATGGCAGCTCCAGTATCAAGCTTGGCTGCTGTAGTTTTTGTTTCTCTTATTCCACAGAGTTGATAATCGCAGTACAACTGATTCCCTGTGTCTGTCCTAGGAGGATAGGGATACCAACTCTAGCGGGTCTCCCTCACCTAGCACCATCTGAATGCCACTGATGTACAAAAGCCCCCATCCCCAAACACCAGGTGATGCCAGTGGGCAGTACAAGGTGTACTAGGTGGGTAAGGGAAGGGCTCAGTTACCTTCCCGTGGGTGCTGGCGTCGAGGAACTTACGTCCCCAGAATCCAGGAGTGTTACAAAGCCACACGAGAACACTTAGCTTTTTCACAATGGGCCGACCCTAATTGCTGTCAAGAGTAGTTTTCACATTTGCAAAAGTAACGAGGGCACAGGCGGCCTGTGCATCCACAGAATGAGAGGACAGACAGGATGACACCGTGCCCAACTTACGCTCCAGGTCCTTGCCACGTCCATGTGATGGTATCCTGGGAGTGAGAAAGATGAATCAATAATATACCAGACCATATGAGGGCCATCTTTGTCCAGCCCAGAGATGTAGAGCTATTTTCCTCCCATATTAATATAGGCAGAGTAAAAGCAGCTTGTGCCCTGGGTTCCAGAGTCCAACCTCTCAAATGGTCATCTTTTTCATCACACCTCTGAGGCTGCCAATTACAACAATGGCCTATATAGGGTTGGCATCTATTACCCTTCTCTCCCAAGGTGTTCCAGTGACCACTGTCTGTACTTCCCAACCCCGCTGTGCCACCTAAGGCACCTCAGGCAAGGTCTGCCTGGACCTGATCACATAGTCTCACTGTAGCCTCATTCCAAGGCTGTATCTGTACCTAAATGTCCAACCATGACTACTACAGGCATGCTCCTAGGTAAACTCTGGGCTTTGAAGGAGGCCCCTGCCACCTTGGAGACTTAGCTACATCAGTGTATATATGCCCAGAAGGGTTTCAGAAACTACCCTTAGCAGTTGCACCAAACATTTTCACATGAGCTAAGCAATACTTAGTGGCCGCCTCACATGACTCCTTTGCAAACTTCAACCTATTCTTCCTACCCTGGTTTGGCTCCCTGGGCAGGGTCTATGCTCAGAACTCTTGGCTGTGGGGGGTGCATTCTGCAGCTACATGGTTGAGGAAGCTCACAAAAACTTTAGACATATGAGCACAGGCAAACTTCTTGCTTCTCTGACAACCAAGCTTCCAAGGTTCTAGGGGGACCAGTGAGGGCCACTGCCTCACCAGGCCGACAAATCAACTCAGAATGCAAACCTCACTCTCACAAATAGGCTGGCAGGCTGCTCTATTCCTGGGTGTGCTGACTCTCAAAAGAGGGCAGGGCCTTCCTCAGGAAACTGACAGGAAATGGACTCTTCCGTGGTTCAGCAATACATGACAGAGTTATTCAGTCTGTTAGTGTTAGTAGCTAATGGTCCAGACAGCCTCCACTTTGCCTCAGGTGACCCCATGCTCAGGGAGGCACACTTGGCTCCTGCACAGGCAGGCTGGACCATGTGTCCATGAGCTGCTATATTGCTGCCAGTAGGTTGTAAGCTAAATGGTTTCCTTCCAACACAGCCCTCGGCTGTCATGGTGACTGGCTGCTAGAGACAGGGAGATCTCACTGTGGTAAACACCCGCACCTTACTTTTTGCACCAGAAGCTTACTCCACTAAGAATTGCCATATGTAATTGCCATATGTGCCTAGTATCAACTCAGGGCCCTGGGGCTCAAGTTCATAGACTGGCCATTTTAACTGTGGAAGCCATCAAGGCAGACAATACCTGCTCCAAGAGTCACAGCAGAAGGGAGGCAGCAGCTGGCATCTGTGAAAGACTGGTCCTGACACCTCCCAGGGGTTGGGAGAGTATTAAGGACACTTGGGAGAAACGCCGAGTGGCAAAACCCAGCAGGACCTGCTCTGAGGCCTTCCTCATCTGGAACCCTCCCTCCTCTGAGCTGGGTCCTTCCAGGTCACCCAGGAATTCTGGGCTCAACTGCCCTGCCTTACCTTGTTTCTTTAAAACAAGTCAATGATACTTCCAATTGTAGCAGAGGAAGCACAACAAAGTTACACAATTTCTTACCTACTGTTCACTCTTCTAGAAGGTAAGCAGCCCTGGATTTTAAAAATGCCCAGAGTGAGCCAGGCTTTGGGAGCTTCTGAGGGCTGTCTATGCAGATGTCACTAAATACAGGGATGGGTCATGGAGCAGGGCACTGCTTCAAGGCCTGTGAAAGGTGGAGCTCTGTGTGCCAATGCTGAGACTATTCTAGAACTGTCATGAATACACCAGGGAGTTAGCTGACACTTGGGACTACACCTACTGAGCCCGCCCCTCCCTCTCCGGGCTGAGGCTGTGTGATGGTGCCAACTGCTCTCTTAACTACTGTGCATAGACAAAGGACACAGAGACATGGCGATCCAGATACAACCAGAACACCTACTAGCCAGCTCTCATTCCTCCTGAAGCCCCCCTCACCACATGTTCCAGAAGAACGCGACTTACCAGTTTGTTTGGGTAGCGTAGCACCACAGGCTGGACAGGAACTCCAGGAATAAATGCACCTGCCAAGGAAAGTGCAGGGTCTCATTGCTGGCAACAGAAAGCATGGGAGGGTGGGGCCTGGCTGTGGTACTTTTGCTGGCCTTAGTAAACTGAGCTTTTCTGTGCCAGCCTTCAAGGTCAGTGAAGACATGCTTTGGGTTCCTCAATTACTTCCTGTACCCCTGCGCTGCCCATAAAGAGGAGCTGCTGTTCTCCAGTGTGTCTATACCTCAGGCCCTCAGAACTGTCAGGCTCTCTTCTCTGTAGGTCTGCTTTATCTACCTTGGTTTCCACTCATTGCCCATGACCTGGATCTGGGGCACATCAATAAGCAGGATATGGCATACCTGGTCTTACCTGGGATAGCCAAGCCTTGCCACCTGAGAGACCACAGGACTGCTCCTACAGTCTCCTCTACTGTCTGTCTACTGGCTGTGTGTTTCCTGATGAGTTGACAAGCCTGTTTTATGAAGTTCTATTCTATTTTAAAAGGCTCTCTGAATGCCTACACCTCTGAAAACCAAGATGTCAGGAGTACCTAGACACTGAGGGATGAAGATCTGAGGAAGCCACACTGCTGGCCAAGGGGCCCTGTGTTCTTCTGGACTAATGCAAAGTCTCATAGATACCAGTGATCATCAGTGGTGTATACCCATTCTGGGGGTAAGTTCTCTGGCTGTTCCAGACACCCGCCCTCCCCTATTCCTTAGCTAAGGACCTTGGTGATAATCCTGGTTCAGGATTTCTGTATACCCCTGGAAAATCTGCACACAAAAATTCCAATCTCGGAACCTGGATGAATGTGTGTGTGCATATGAATATGCACAGCCACGAAGCAAGTACAACACGGGAGAAGCAGGCGCTGGGCTGGCACCAGGTACCTAAGCAGCAACTAGCAGCAGGGATACCCACAGGAGGTGATGGCTCCCAGACTCCGGAACGCAGGAGTTGAGGCCACACAGAGGGTCCGAGTGTGTCATGGAGTATGGCACTGGTCCAGCACTGAGTAAACAGCAGGTATCTGGGGTATGGATCATATCTGGGTACCACAGTTAGTCTGGGTGGGTAACTGTGGCATACGACCTCCCCCACCCCCCCATGGTATGTGCTGCCTTTGCGGAAGCTCTCCACATGCCCTCTTTGTGTCTACGTCTCTTCAGCTTCACAGAGGAAGTGAGGCTGGCAGACAGTCTTCCGGTGTTCTTTTCAAGGGCAGGTAATCCCACCACTATGGAAGAGGAACGGCTCCCGTCATGGCGTGGGACTCCCCAGCTCCCTCACAGTTCATGTATTCTCTGCCATGGCCTTGGCGATGATATGGCCTGGTATCAGTATGCGGTTTCAAACAAAATGGTTAGGGGCCTTTATGGGCTACACCCAGGGTGGGGTGGGCCATGGACTTTCTCCTGCAGCTAGGCCTGTCTTGGTGACCACGTGATGCCGTAGCTGCTAAGCCTATTTCTAGAAAGAGCAATCCAGGATACATTGAGTGTAAGAATTCTCTTTCTTGTATTGTATCTCCACCCATCAAAGTTTCTACCACTATCTGTGTCAAAAGTGGGGGCTCAGCCATGTACACACAAGCAGAAAAAAGGATGGCCTGGTGGGACAGAAGACTCTGGATTTACCATCCAGCACTTAAAAGACCATGGAGCTGGAAAACCTCAAAGACAGGACAGTATAAGGCATCCCAGAGTAGAATATTGGCAGTTGTACCCAGTCTGATCTAGTCTGTGGGAGATGGTGTGCATACCCATTGCCAAGAGTTTATGAGTCCCACCCACCTCTTAAACAGCACTAACATCCATGGCAGGATCAAGGGGTAAACCTGGTAAAACTCCCAGAATATACAGAACTTTAACCAGGGAGGGACAGGAGTGGACTTTGTGCCCCTATCATCACAATTCTCTGCTAAAGCCAGGGGCTCAATCCCAATGCTGTACGTGGGGAGTGCCAAGAGGGGGTATCCAGGCTGATGGGTCACTCACTGCTCATGCACATGGAGAAAGCGTGCTGTTCTCCCGTGGCTCTGAAACCAGCCTTCGAGGGCTTTGCAACAGAAGAGCAAGCTAAAGACTACAAGACCTCTACAGTCAGTGGGAGCTGCCAGGGCCCCGGGGCACCTCAGAGGTCGAGGAGATCTCAGCATACCAAGGCCTCATTGGTCAGGACAAACATTATCATCTCATGACAGCCATCACCTTCATAATCTCCTCATCCTCCTGCTAACACTCCAGTTCTCAGCTCAAACACAGAGACTTTGCTATCATTTCCAGAAATGCTTCTAAGAAGATTTCCATTATCAACAGATGACATTACTTTAAAACTCATAACTGGTTTTCTCTTTTTGGCAAAGATTAAAAACAAAACCAACAGACAAAAACAAAAAACTACATACCAGGTTTGAAGGTAATGAGACAGGTCCTATTTGTACATGTTCCTTCCGGAAAAATCATTATCTTAAAATAGGAAAAAGATAGCATTAAACCATAATACTTAAATCCAGGATCCACAGGAGCCCACCTACCAATATGTCCCCCCCCCCATTACTGGCATAATTTTACACTATGGCTCCTAGAAAGGGGAGGGTCTCCCCCAGGACTCGGGAGGGAGGGGTGAAATGAAACGGGCACACTATAAGCACAAAGTAAGCAGCAGTGAAGGATAGCACGGCTCTCGGTCACACATACATCACAGGAGAGAATGGATGCCAAGAGTGGGGACACTGATGAGAGGCCACACCATGAGGAGCAATCAGGAAACCTGTGCAGCCACTGGGCACAACTGCAGAGTGAAGAAACTCCTGTCCCCACGAGACACGCCAATGGCTGACTCACTGGCTAAGAAGGCAGCATAAAACAAACTACCCTGATGGGACAGTGAGCCATTGAGAAGGCTGGGTGGGAGCACAGGTAAGCTCCTTGGAGAAGAGGAAGCAACGTGTGTGTGTGTGGGGGGGGAGGCATCTTGCTACACCTTGTAAGCCAGAAGCTTCCAGAGGCTGCCTGTGGGCGCTGGTGCCTAAGCACCACAGACAGAGCATCCTGCAAAGCCTCTAGCCTTTGCCTGTTGGCTCAAGTGGGAAGAAAAAAAGACACCTCATGCTTACAGGGCCCCTGGGCAAAGGCAGGCCATACAGATGCAGAGGTAGGAACCAGCCAACAAGACAAAGGCTCAGCTCAGGATCCTTAGGCTCACAGCTAATCTGGAAAGTAGATCATACCCAAGGCAATCAGCAAGGCACCACCCCACACAATGACACAAGTGAACACGTGAGAGAATCTGTTTTCACTTAAGCCTAGACACCAAAACCCAAAGCGCCCAACACTAAAGCACACTCTTAGATAGATACACTCCCCAAAGACAAACAGAACTTCAGCACCAGAAATGGACATGGCAGGCTCTGTGTTTTCCTCTCTTTCTTCCATTCTCTCTTAGGGAGGGCCCCTAAAAGCAAGCAGGATTGTTCTACCTGAGGCCACTTTCCATCTGACTGTGCCCGTCGCTTGATCTCTTCCACTGTTTTTCTTCGAGAGTCTTGGTCAGATCGAGACACGAACACAGGTCGAATGTACCTTATCAGAGCTGTAGGAGTTGAGAAAGGATATCAGCATCCATAGCTTCCAACAGCATGGTTGGAATAGAGACCTCTCAGGGGCCAGAGGGAGCTGCAAACCCCAAAGACACCTACCTCCTTGGGCCATGCTGATGCCTAGAGGGTGAGGAAACTTCCAGTCAACTCCTGCAACCTGTGTGTCCTGGAGGAACACCAGTCTCTAGGGACCATCAGCCAGGACACACAGGACACAACAGAAACCGAACACTACTGAAACATAGAAGATCTGCCGTCACTGCATTACTAGGACAAGGAGATTCAGTAAGTAGTCCTAGACCCCACTGTGGGTTAAGCTTGCATTCTTGAAATTCAGGGATGAAACTCTAATTCCTGGTACCTGGGAATGTGACCCTAACTGGAGATATCTGCAGACAATTAAGTTTAGATGACAATCACCCTAACTAGGTAGTCCTAATCAATGACTGATATCCTTTTAAGAGATCAGAGGTAAGGAGAGAGAAGGTTGCAGGACAAGGGAGGATGTGATGTGCCTGCAAGCTAGAGAGTACCAAGGCCTGCCAGCTGCTACCATGTGCTTGGCTGTCAATGCCCTCCTCTTGGACCTCTAGCTTCTAGAGTGGTAAGAACAAGTTCTTGTTGCCTCTTTGCTTCACGAACCCTAGAGATCACACACAGCCCTGGAGTAATCACTATATCATAGGGTTTCTACATTTGGTCTTGGTTCAAGGCACTTATTTTGTCACAATTGGCAGGTCTCAACTGACCAAATGTTGGGAACCACCAAAGTAAGACCATGTTAAAATGGGATAGTGCTCAAAAAACTCTCAAGAGGTTTTAATATGCTTACCTTCAGGTAAGTCTATGTTCTGAGGAATAATAATAATAATAATGATGATGATGATGGAGCAGGGCCCAGTGTGGCAGCTGATCTCCCAGGACTATTTTAGCTATAGGTTCTTTTCATAAATCATTCTGAGATTTGAAAAGATTACTTAATGATTCTTCCTATGAGGTTTCCCCAAAAAGCATAGAAAGCAATTTTTTGAAGAAGAAAGGGAGAGAGGGAAGGAGGAAGAGAGGGAGGGAGGGAGGAAGGAAGGAAGGAAGGAAGGAGAAAGGAAGAAAGGAAGGAAGAAAAGAAGAGAAAATCCCTTCAGTCTTGTAATAACGCACTGTGTCTTCCTAACTCCCTGGAAGAGCCAAACTCACGGGGCAGTGATCATGTCTTTCCAGACTTGAATCATTTTGCTGTTTTGCCATTCTGGCAGTATTTCATCTCTTCCTGTCAACTTCCTGATGCTGCTAAAGTGACTCTCTGTAGTTAAAAAGGAAGAGGAATGATAGAACGGGGTCAGGATGCTGTGAGGGTGACATCACTTTTCCATAAAACGCCATCATCTTCTCAGAGATGCTGGGGCTCACCTCGTCTTGCTCTGTAGTGTGTTTCATGGGGCTGAGGATAGAAGCTTTCTGTGTCTATGATGGCAAGGATTAGAAAACTGACTTGGATAGTGGAAGATGCCTTCTGGTCTTTCAGCAGATTTGAGGATGGATACAGGGAGGCAAGAAGGGCTTCAAGGAGGGGAATAAGTGATCATCTGGGTACCCAGGATATTATCTTTGAGGGTTCCTGTATAAACCTCCTACCAGACAAAATTATTCTGGATTGACCTGGATGGACAAGTTGTTCCCAAAGGTAGGGAGGTAAAGTTCACAGCTCCCTGCCAGTAGGCCATGCTGTGCAAATGGCTGCCAGAACCCTGGCAGAAGTTCCAACAGGTCTGTGATGGCATTCTCTTAGCATCTTACTTCCAAACATCACTTGATCAGTTCAATGAATGAATGAGTACTGGCTGCTTGGTTTTTGTGAACTTGCTGTAAGATTGCCCTGTCCGAGGCAGGTGGTGATGGCACATACCTTTACTTCCAGCACTCAGGAAGCAAAGGCTGCTGATTTCTGAGTTTGAGGCCAGTCTGGTCTACAGAATGAGTTCCAGGACAGCCAGGACTACACAGAGAAACCCTGTCTTGGGAAACACAAACAAACAAGCCAGCCCTGAAGGGAAGTCTGTGGGGTATGTGGGAATTTTCTTGATTAATGATTATGTGGGAGGACCCAGCACAATGTTGGAGTGATATACAACCCCCTAGTTGTATAAGAGAGCAGGCTGAGAAAACCAGCACTCCTCCACGGCTTCCGCCTCCAGATTCCTGCCCTGCTAACTTCCCTCGGTGATGGACTGTTACCAAAAGTGCAAGCTGAAATACGGCCTTTCTTTCCCAGGTTTCCCAGGGGTTTTAATCACAGCAAGGAAAACCCTAACCCTAATTAAGATAGACACATAAAGTTGACTCACAGAAGGCTGATAATGTACAGACAGGAAAAGGTATGAAGTTGGTCACACTCCTGGCACTGACAGACCTAAAGAGGAAAACACTGCAGAGTTAAGAAGCTGTCTGTCACAAGGTCTAAAAGATGGGCTGCAAGTTGGGACAAGCCATTGTCTACCTAAGCCTGCTCTGAGATAGGAACCAGAACACGCCCTGGGTTATCAAGGGGTGAAGAGGACCCGTAGCTGCATGCCAGGACAGTACCTAACCTGGCACACTGACTACAAAGGTATCTCTGGGTAAGGAACCAACTGTGATGAGTTACATTTGGAACCTAATCAATATCCCTCTCCCTGTAGAGACAGGTGTTGTAATTTAAGAAAGATAGCACATGAAAGATGCCATGCAACAGGGTTCAAACGGAGGTTTATTAGGGAAAGGTAACATAAAAAGGGGAAAGGGGAGGGGAAAGATTGGCCTCCAGGGACAGGAGCACTAGGAGGAGAAAGGGCAGAGAGAAAACAGACGGAGAGAGGGAGAAAGAAATACAGAAAGAGAGGGAGAGAAGGAAGGAGAAGGAAGGAAGGTGGGCACAGCCCTTTTAAAAGGGAACATAGTGAATGTGCACAGGTGTGCTTTTAGGGGCTGCAGCTGAGGGTGTATCCTGTCAGAACCCCAAGGACAGGCCAGTACAGATGTCTGAATACTAACAGCACAGTCTCAATGATCTGCCAGGGCTCAAGTAATCCTCCTGCCTCAGCTTAGGCACACATCATTTTATCTGGATAATGAACATTTCTGATAAACCTTCCGCCACCATTCACTCTGTGGATTATCTATAAATGACCAGGAAATGTACAAGCTACAGAAGGAACCTCTGTACACAGTGACAATATTTCTATAAAACCCAATAGCCTCCTGGTGCCTTGCCAGGGGCCACATAAATTGGCGGTGAGGGCTTGTGACACCTTTCAGCGTTGTCAAGGTAGACTGCACATCTGCCAATTACGACCTTACCTACCTTCCAAAAAATTCTTGGAATTCAACCCAACTTTCCAGGCATGTGAAGTATTATCCTTTATTTGAGGATCTGACTGATAAATCTGAAGCCTATGACCCAAATATCTCAGCTTCCTTCCAGGAGCCTCGTCAAAAAGGGGAGTGACCACACTCATTCAGAGCTGTTTCATAACCGACGTCCTTGCACTGGCCAGCTCATTTCCATCTGCAGGATTGATCGGCTGTACCACTCTGAGTGCAAGGCTATATACAGTCCCGCCTTCTGCCTTCCTGATTGGTGGTGCCTTTGCAAGGTCCTGGCTATCCCTATCAGGGGACTGAGACAGATACTTGACAGAGATGAACCACTCATCTAATACTCTGTTCAAACAGCAAATCCCTAGCCAAGCTCTACCCTAGTCTGTTCCCTTCTGTATGAGCCAACTCTGTACCAGCACACTGTGAATGGAGGGAATTCATCCATGAGCCTTAGAGCACACTTACCTCAGGATACTGACCACAGTGTTGTCTGAACCCATGGTAAAGACTCATACTTCCCATGGAAGGGAATGACCATACCTCTCAGGTGGGAAGCAAGTGGGCTGTGGAGGCCATGTTGGCTGCAGTGGACTTAGCCACAGCCAGGCACCTCTGAAAAGTCACAGGTGTGTGTGTCGATGGAAGGGGTTATCTTGGGCTGGGTACCTTGCTGTCATCTGCCTAGGTTCTAGCCTGACCACCTGCTTCCCCACAGTCATGAGCCAGGTCCTTAATGTTTCCATATGCAACGGGGAGAATGCCTGCTCACCAGCAAAAGGAGGAGACGAAGATGAGGGCAATGCTTGATGTAGGCATTGCCCGAAGCTGTGACAAACAATTCTTCATAATCTGGCCAAGTGTCAGCAGGCTGCTTCTATGCTTTAGCTTAGGAGAGACAGCTGGGTCAGGGCCGGATCAGAAGGGTCAGTGCTGGGCAGTCCAGACTGATGGCCCAATCCTTTCTTCTACCCATCTCCCAGGCAAATATACCTCAAGATTTCAGAGGTCTCTCACAGAGCAGAAGTCTTGGATGTACAGAGAGATTGGGCTACCAAGTATATTGATTGGCTAGTTTTATGACAACTTGACACAAGCTCAAGCCATGTGCGGAGAGAGACGGTCAACAAGAAAACGCCATCACTAGCGTGGCCTCTGGGGAAGCCTATGGTGTATTTTTAAATTAATGATTGATGTGAGAGGGCCCAATCCACCTTGAGTGAGGCTATCCCCTTTCTGGGGTGTGTAAAAAAAAAAAAAAATCAGGCTGAGCAAGGCCTGAAGACCTAGCCAGTAAGCTCCTTCACAGCCCCTGCTTCAGTTCTGCTGTTGAGTTCCCGTCCTGACTTCCTCAGTGGATAGGCTGTGACGTTTAACTGGAAGCTGAAACAAAGCCTTTCTCCTGGTCACAGTGTCTCATCACAGCAATGACAACCTTAACTAAGGTGCCAGGGGGCCCCTCTGCTTTCGAATGACAGTGCCGGGGCCCACACAGTCTGGGAGACACGAAAGTATGCCCTGTCGTGTAAGTGAGGCTGCTGAGTGGCCATATTCATGAGACCCACAGAGGCACAGCTCTACCCCAGAACATGCACTCACAGGCAGAGTGCCCAGATAGCAGAGCAAGGCTTCAGAACACAGATTACACAGCCTTTCTGTCAAGTCTGTGACTCTTCTTACTTGGTGGTATGCATTCACCATGATGTGGGTTCAGGGCTGTGGTTCTTCTGCCACAGGTGTCGGGCTGAAAACTCCTCCTCCCATTACTCTTCAGGGACACCACAGCCACCACAACCGCCACAGTACCCAGTAACCACCCCTACCCCCCCAAACCCACATCATTTACTGAGATGCCTGGGAATAATGAAGGACACCAGCCAGGGTGTGAAAAGCAATTGCATGTCAACGCTGAGTTCTCTCCAAATCTCAACCCTAGACCCTACAAACATGTCCTTTCAGACCAAAGGTCTATGCAGATGAAATCATGGATCTTAAAAAGAGGATATCATGGAATATTCATCGGCATTGTTCTTAGCTAGATATACACAGATGAGAAACAGAGGAAAGCTGGTCATGTGACCAGTCAGGTAGGACAATCTCCTGTGGAGCCTCTGGGGGGATCCCCCTTGCACATACTATGACCCCTCCCTTTGCATGCACTATGACCCTGGACTTGTGGTTCTTAGAACAAAACAGAAAGACCTTGTGCTGCATCAAGGCACCCAGAATTTGTGATCCAATCAGCAGCCCCAAGACACTGCTGTTCCTGGTCTGTGGGAATCACAGGTACTCAGGATCAGGCTGCCCAGAAGCTCAAGAAAGAGCCCCTGAACTGCTCTGTGATACAGGAAATGCATGCTTAGGAGACAGACCTCGGTCAGACATGTAACTCTGTACCTGACAGTACGGGAAGACATGCACATGCAGATAAATAAAACCTGCCAAGGCTCATGCTACAGGGGAATCATAATCACAAAAACAGAGCACAGCCAGGGCAGGTTGTGTGATGGCACACAGCCTGAAGGGGCCTGCCACTGGGGAGGCGTCGTCGTCGTCTTACTCTCCCCCGCCCCCCCCCCCCGGGGTCTTTCTCACTTGCGCCTTGGGGATGTGTGTCTTCACTTACTCCCACAGTCTCACCCATTCCCAGGGGATCAGCCACTCAAGTGCTCACTCACTTCCCCAGATTGGGATGTCTCTGCTCTCCGCCTTCATCACAATGGAGGACATGGTCATGGTGACGGGGATGGCATCAAAGTAGGAGGAATGTGGCGCGAGTGTGAGGATAGCAGCCTCCGCAGGCAGGGCCTGCCGCCCCTTCACAGCCACTCGGTGGAAGCCACCAGCAAACCACATGGTACGCATGATGGCCTTGAGCAGGAAGTCCACGACCCTGTAAGAGATGAGCAACATCAGGTTTCTGCTTCTACACAGGTGTGCAGGGGGCATGGGAAAAGTGATGCTGGGCCTTGGAGGCAGGGCAGGGCATTGAAGGCTACTGTAGCAGCTGCCCTGAGAGGAGATTCTGGGACACCCACAGCCAATGTTCCCCTGCCTCATCTGACACACAACCGAAGGGCTTTTCCCACCACACAGCATCCTGCAAGTGAGCACAGCTACTCGGCACTGACAGCAGCTCGCACACCAAGGTCAAAGACACCCACACTTCAAAGGTCAGCAGCTCATGTTAGCACTGAGCAGTGAATGAGCAGACAAACCATCAAAGCAGTAGGACATCATTAGAAGCTGCATGCTAATCAGCCTGCCTGGTGAGCCTTTTAGACCTCCTTCACATTGTCACCCTGCCTTGGAGGCTGACCACATGAATCAGTACAGCTTTTGGAAGGACCCAGATGGACACAGATGTAGGTGAAAGAAAAATGGCCTAGGCCATCAATCAGGTTTCCTATGGTGTCCTTTTCAAACACATGAGAAGTCAGGCACTCAAACCTGGTATTTTCCTTTCTACACTCACCCTCAACAAACCTCAGTCACCACTCCAGACACCTCTCAGGACACCCCTGAGGTGACAAGTAATATGAGCAGCCCTGGGTGGAGCTTGGTCTCCAGAGGAGGCCTGTGCAGAATGCACCAGGGTGACCAAAAAAATACAGAAAAAAAAAAAAAAAAAAAAAAAAAAGCTCAAAACCCTGATCCTTGATTTTTCCCAAAGCGCTAACTCCCCTGGAGGTTCTGTGAGAGGAGCCCCAGCAGATCTAAGTAGTGGCCAATCACTGTTGGGTACAGAGCCCCTCGAGGAGTCACCTTGGAAAGACCTTTGCTTACTTGGAGGATCAGCAGCTGCTGTAGTTACAATGAGACACTGGGGAGCAGATTCAAGGTTCTATGTCTAAGGATGGTGTGGAGCATGAGTACACACTTCTCGATGTCTAGATAGGTTCACAATAAAAATGTACAAAAATAAACACACGGCAACTAATGAGGAGGAGGCTGCAGAGGCTGGGAAGGTGAGGCTGTGGGGGAGGCTGCACTGGAACAGGCATTGGTCCTGGGAGGGCGAGATGAGGCAGCAGGGGGTGGGGTTAGTATGGGGAGGGGCTGGGAAAAGAGCTGAGCCAAAAGGATGGCTCTTCCCCTTAAGCTTACCCACAAGGCTGGGTGCCCCAGGCTAAAGGTGTGAATGGAGATGGACCTTGTGGGCTCAGTGAAGGTGAGGACGCTCATTCTGCTGGGGCAAGGAGGACAGTGAACTCTGGGCAAGGTCAGAGGTCAAGTAAAGGCTTGGAAAGAAAGCTGCAGGGACATGAAGGAGAAGAGGGATGGAACAGGAACTGAACTCAACAGCTGCTCAGTGCTGAAGACCTGGGGCTCTGGGCACAAGATGAAGAGAGGATTCCAGAGAGAAGCTGTTTGCCTCCACACACAGTCACATGAACCCTAAGACAGTAGACCTGCACTCTGGGAGGACATGCCCACTATACTTCACCCAGCCAGAAAGCCAGGCAAGGAAGAGCAAGCTGGTTGTTAGTTCATCAAATCCGAGTTCCTCTTGCAAATTCTTTCTGGGAAGAGAAGCTGCCATTCCAGAAAGTCTTCAACAACAACAAAACAAAAGAGCAGACAGTGGATGAGAGATCTGGATGCCCCAGGAGGCAAGCACTACCTCGCAGTGGGGCCTGACTATGGGGTTTGGAAATCTGAGGTTGAACTGGGGCGTCTGGCACTCTTTTGGCCACAAGAAAGAAACAGATATTCAAACGGCAAGAGAAAAAAACGAAGGCTACAGTCCAAATGCAAAGCAGAGAATGTGTGTAATTTAAAAACTTTAAATCATAGGATGTGGTTGTGCTTCTGCAGACAGAGGAAGTCGTATTTATACCCAGGATGTGGGGACTCCTCTCTGAGGGTAGGGGGTAAGATACTCAGTCCTTCAATCTCATAGTTAACCTATTAATATATTAACCCAGGAACTAAGTTGTGAGGAGCCCTCAGAGCAAGCCCTTCTCAAGTGCCTATGGCTGAGGGATCAGCAGCTGGAGGGCCTTGACTGCTACCTGCCTGGTCCACCCCTGGACTTGCGCTGGTGGGTAAGAACCAGTGTAGGGGTCAGTACTACCAAAAGGCAGCAGTATGATTTTCACGGCACTGTACTTTGAAAGCGACTTAAAATAAGCATTCTTTGGAAAACTGTGTCATTCATCGAAAGCCTGAGATTTTTTAAGGATGTCTAAATGCCACCAACTTCATCCAGGAAAAAAAAAAAAGTCATCTTTAACATCAATCTGTTCACAACAGCTCTGCTGTGCGAACATAACAGTCTGAGTCTGAATGAATCTGCTGTTGTAACTCAGCAGAACTTCGACGGCTTTTTCCTAATTCTGTGCCACTCTGAGGCTCCTTATTACTACGTCTCCCTTCAGGGATCAGAAGCATCCTTGAGAGCCCAGGGCCACAAACCCACTCAGTTCCCACAGACACTGAATGAAGGTGTCCAGGGTTTCATGAGGCACAGCATGGTACATGCAGGTTCAGCATACATGTGTACACTGAACATATGGCACTTTCAACATACGTGCACACACTCCATTTACATATACTCCAACGTATATGTACAATCATACAATCTCATATGTGTACACACATGTGCACCCATACACCCTTAACATATACTCACCAACATGCACTTACAGGCACACTCTAACATATGTATACACCCTACACATACGCACATTTCAATTTATACATACTTGCATGCTCTTATCTACATATACAACAGGCACATACTTAGATGTTTACACTCCAACACACCTATACACACATACTCCAACACCTACGTGCATACTCTCATCTTCATTCAAACATGTGTACTCCAACAGGTGTACACACACACACACACACACACACTTTTACCTGTGTACTCATATGCACATATATCAACAAATACACACCAAACATACTCCAGCACCTACACTCATATGCATACTCTCATCTAAATGCACATTCCAACAGATACACACACATGCACATTCTCATGTGTGTACATTCATATATGCACATGCTTCAGACACACACACATACATGCATACACATGTACCAGCATACACATATATACCCAGGCATAACACACTCCTCTCTCTCACACAGAATGACATGTACCCTGAGATGACAAAGACATACCAAGCTCCAGGGAAAATGACCACAAGAAATCTCAGCCTCTCACTCACGCACACGAAGCAGTACTAACATCACATTTGTGTAGTGAAGGAGGCTATTGGGAACAGACTGAGTGACTTGGACACACAGGGACAAAGCTGTTGCAAACAGTTTGCTGTGGCCCTCTGTAGCTTGCTGAAGCCCATGGAGTGTGTGTGCACATAGGAGGGTCCCAGGGGAGCATGGAGGCCAGGAACACAGCCCAAGTCACCCACTTTGAGGATGGTCCTGCTGCTCAGAGACTCTGAGCTGGTGTGGGGAAGAATCTGGCCCTTGTGATGCCAAGCAGGCAGCATGTAGAGCAATGACAAAGCTCCCTCAAGCCCCTTGTCACAAGAGCCAACATCTGTCACCCAGGTACTTTTAAATCGCCCAAGTCTGCTTCCTGGCAGAACTTCTGCACTTAGCAAGCTCAAAGTCGGGATCTGGTTTGGCCTAGATTTGAAGTGCTTGGTTTTATTTCATACCAGTTATGGTTTGTTTACCCTTTTAAAGGATGTCACAATAAAGCATGCTGTTCTAAGAGGATTAGGAAATCCCAGACAAATGAAGAACTGAGAGCAAGCCATAATTTCATGGAGGACCAGCCTCACTCAATGTGCCCAATGTGGGCAATAAACAGCATCTAATGGTGATCCGACACACAGAGAGATGAAGTTTAGAAGATGAGGGTCCCTCTTGCCTCTCTACAGAACAAACATCCTGTGCATCACAAGAAAAGAAAGGCTGGGAAGTCTAAGTGAACACTCAGCCCACAGAGCACCAGGTAGAGACATTTTAGACTCTGGGGCCACAGAGCCCCCCATACCCACACAACTCAGCGCCCTATGAAAGTAGCCCTGGGGGCGGCCATGTTCAGGAAAAAGGTTCCTTGCACAGCAGCCAATGTGGCCTGTAGGCCTTTCTGCTAGCATCTCCAACGGGGATTTATTTGTCTTTCTGAGCTGGTGAAGGGAGCTCTAGAGACAACAGCAGAGCATTCTTAGGGTGCTGGCTAAGGCACCTGTGACAGGTAGAAAGACACACAAAAAAACACTTAAAAGTGGCTGAGTTCCCAACATATCCATGAGGTTCATCCATATATAATACTTAAAGGCAAGAGCCAGTATGGGTCTAACAGAGACTCAGCCTGCAGTGACAGTGTCCAACATTCAGGAAGCCTGGGGTGGCTCAAGGTTCCCACTAGGGCAGGACTGTATGGATCCAGCCTCCTGCTAGCCAGAGCTTCAGCTCTGTCAAGTTTGGTCAGAAAGTGGTATCGGATCACTGGATTTGAAAGAGTGAGGGCTTATCTACTTTCAGTGGCCCCAGGTGGGCAACATATGTCAACTAAGACCTGCCATTCAAAAGGTATTGATCCCCCTCCAAACTGCTTTAACTATAGCTGGAAGATGTGCTCCTTTCCCTGATCACAGCACCCATACTGTGGGGGCTGAGACAGGGATCCCTGTCACTGTGGTGGTGGGTCAACTCAGCCCAAGAGCTGTCCACTCAGAATACATTCCCCAACTTCCACCAGTAGATCCAGAGCCCGGGCTCTCTGGCTTTAGTCTTCAGGCCATTAAGAGACAGAAGAGATTCTGGAACACAGGAGGCTATAGTGGTGGAGGAATCTCTGCACTCTGGGACAAGGGTATAGCAGCCCCATGACCCATAGAGCCCTGAAGATGAAGTCTAAAAAGACCAGAGGCAGAGACAGGCAGGGACAAGCAAGTTTCAAAGGAGCCAGCAAGAAGACAGCACTGGTAAATCAGGCTTAGAGAGGGAGAGATAGGTCCACACTGTCTGAGTAGTAACATTATGACATCAAAGATTACACACACACACACACACACACACACACACACACACACACACACACACACACCAGCCAAAAGAGCTACTTACTTCCTCCACAAGGCCATGGGCTGCTCTGGCTCCTTATCGGGCGGTCCCAGGGAGGCCACAAGTGCAAAGGGCCAGGCCAGCAGCATCATAAAAGCAGCAAACAGGAGCCGGATGGGGAACAGCGTCAACGTCATGAAAGCCACCTGGGAAGACAGGTGTTATTTTTTAAGCACTCCTGTTTGAGAACGTGTTGAAGCTGCCTGCAGCCTGGGGTCCTGCAGAGCTAGCCAGTACACTGACATCACTGTGGTCCCCATGCCCCCAGTCCTTCCTTACTAAAGACACTCAGGGGATATCTTGGAAACGGCATGGCTGAGCCTGATTGGCAGACTCATGATGGGGTATGTTCTTCTGTATCTATGTTTCTCTTTTGGTTGATGAATAAAACACTGATTGGCCAGTAGAGGCAGGAAGATAGGCGGGACTAGGAGATGAGGAGAATGCTAGGGAGAGAGGCAGAGAGGCCAGGAGACACCATGCTGCCCAAGGAGTAACATGCCAGATTATGGGTAAGCTACAGCCTTGTGGCAATACATAGAATAATAGCAGTGGGTTAATAATTAAGACAGAGCTAGCTAATAAGAAGCCTGAGCCATTGGCCAACAGTTTCATAATTAATACATCATCTGTTTGTTTATTTGGGGCTAAGTGGCTGTGGGACCAGGCGGGACAGAAACTTCCATCATCAAATGGCACCAAATGTGGGTCATGAATCCATGATCCTGAGATTATGAGTCTCATGGTCTACTGACTGAGCTTCGGGACAGAAACCTCCATCATCACATTCAGCTCTACTCTGACTCTGACACTATATCCCACAGAGGGACTGGCACCCAAAGCTGGAGCCTTGCAACACATCATCATACCTTCCCACCTCTCCTTGAAATCATAAGGTGGGGCTGGGGAGATAAGTCAGTCTGAAAAGTGCTTTCTCTAAGGAGCTGAGGACCTGAATTCAATACAAGTTTAAAAAAAAAAAATCTAAGTGTGGCAGCACAATTGCAAAATCCCAGCACTAGGGATTGCTAAAACCCTGGGGTTGCCTCACTGGCTGGCCAGCTTAGCCTTCTTGGTGACTTCCAGACCAGTAAGAAACCCTGCTTCAAAACAAGGCAGATGGTGCCTAAGGAATCCCCACCAGAGGCTGACCTCTGTGTACGATGTGCACATGTGCAAATACACAAATTGTTGATGTGGACAGAGATAGCATATGTAGTCCTAAATATTGGTGAGACAGTGAGGGAGCAGATTGGGGACACAAGGCCAGCCTTGGACAAGAGAGCAGAGGAATCAGGACAGCTCTCCAGCCAAGGCTAGGTAGGGCAGAAAGCCAGAGCCCAAGGGAGGCATGGCTCACTAAGCAGTGCTCACCTCAGGCCAGCAGGAAGCTACAGGACCAGGTGGCTGCCTGTTGCTCTGTGTTTGGAAGACATGTGGTGGGCAGTTCAGCTCTGTGGGGCAGAGCCAAATGCTACATTAATGGAAGCCATTTTTCACAGCCTTAGCAATCAGTGTGGCCTTGACACTGAGAATGAATTCACATTCACACCCTTTAAAGGCCCAACAGTCACCTGTGGCCCAAGGGCAGGGCAGATCCGGGTACCAACACCTATCTACTCCGACACATGGTTTATTGCCTGGGACAATGATTACATATGACACCTCATAGTGAGGACCATCCTTGTCCCACAAAAGCCTGCAGTGGGCTGTCAGTAGATGTCTTTGGAGTAAGAACATCATTAACCACTTTGCCCGCCACTATTGGGACATAATACTGATTCTAGTGCAACATGCTTAAGTGCGGTGGCCAGGGTTCCTCCAGTGTCGGATTCTTGCTTGCAATGCTAGGAAGTAACATGCTGGGGCTCGTGTTAGGGGTGCTGGGAAGCTATCTGTCAGGGCTCGAGTTAGAGGTGCTGGGCTTGCTGGTGACTGATCTGGATCAACTCTTCACTGGTTTTCAGGGGAGACACCTATAATCCAGCCCCCCTCCCACACATACACACACTGACCCTGGGCTGTTTTAACTGTCTCTTCACACTGACAAATCTCTGGCTAGCTAGATGGCTGCAGCTTCCAAGTTTCTAGGATCCCAGCTTTGTAAACTCTGTTTCTCTCTGTGGTGATATTTTGTTCTGCTATAACAAATAAAGCTTGCCTAAAGATCAGAGTGCAGAGCTGTAGAGACCAGGAAATGGTGGCACACGTCTTTAATCCCAGCACTTGGGAGCAGAGGCTGACGAACTCTGTGAGTTTGGGGCCACCCTTGGCTATAAAAGACTGAATCTGTCTAAAAGAGAAACAGAGCTCACACAAAGGTGATCCCAGCACTCGGGATCTCACACCTTCAATCCCAGCATTAGGGAAGTGGAGACAGGAATATAAGGCGGAGGAGACAGGAGCAGAGAGGCAGTCTGCGGACTCCTAGAGACAGATGCAGTCTGAGGAGGCAGGGTCTGAGCATTAGTAGAAGTAAAAACTCTAGTGGCTGGCCACTCTGCTTCTCTGATCCTCCAGCTTTCACATCGACAGCTGACTGAGTTTTTTATCATTAACAACAATTACAATCGGTGCTACATTTCTCCCTGGGTTAATCTGGTTTGTTCTCCATGAGTTTTCCTAGAAGCCCTTCGCAGGCTTCCCAACAATGCCAAACTTGAGCATTGAAGAGGTAGCCTGTGCAGCACTGTTTCAACATCTGGGGTGGGTGTGTGAGCTAGGGAGGAAGCCCTTTGCATTGGTGTGCTGCACAGGACAGGGGAGCACACAGCCCTCGGCAGCACCGCATGCAGTACAGTGTGTATGTGTGTGTGTGTGTGTGGGTGCATGAAGTCGTGGAGGCGGCTTGCTGTGGTGTACAACACACTGGGGAGGGTTGGGAGGCCACAAGTGTCAGGATCAGCTTCCTCTATACTCGGCCTCCACCTTCACTCAGTGTTGGCTTTCCTGCTTTTATCTGTATCCCAGGGAGCAGGGAACTCTCCCCCAGGTAAACAAGGCAGGACGGATGGAGCCTGCCACAGCCCTTCTAGAACCTACGACAGTACCTTCTGTCCACATCTTCGGACATCTCCACGGGCTACCATCTTCATGAAGACTCAGCCTTGTCCAAACAGACTAGGGGGAACCACATACAATGTCTCTGAGCCCCAACAAAGGAAACGGCTAGCCAGAAGGCTATGATACCAGAGTAGCTGGATCTGGCGGTGAATGTGTGGAATGTGGGAAGGAGAAGAAAAGCTGCAGGCAGCCACAAGAAGCATTCTTAGAAAAAGCAGGCTAGACTGGAAAGCAACAGAGCGTCAGACAACTTTCCAGATACCTTGCGTTCCGGGTGTGGATGGCCACCGCCAGGGCAGGGCCTGCCTCTCTACCAAAGCTTCAAGGCACCTTTTCTTGCTGTAGCTCATGAAACCAAGAGCTCTGTCTACATCAAGAATATAGGGTGCTAGAGAGATGTGGGAGTGAGACAGGGGTCCACTCTCCACACCCATCAGGTCCAGTGCCATGCTGGATGCCATGTGATGTGTATGGAAAGGCCTGCAGAGCTCATTTTACCAAGACTACACACAGAATGTCTGTCCACCAGCAGATGTGAGGTAGCACATGGCAGATCGGATACCCTGTACAGGATCTGACCAGGGAAGAGCTGGCTGAGAGTATGAATGAGGGGGCCGGCTGGTACAGGCTACAAAACAGACGAGAGAGGAGAGAGTCATGGAAGTAAAGGATTCAGCTATGCTGACAGGTGACTACAGGGCTGGGCTCAAGGTTGCAACACCATGAGAATTCCATGGACACAGAAGGTGTAGGCCGCTGATGCTGGGGCCCACAGCCCCACCTTCCTAAGTCCAGTTGTGGAGAGTGAAGACTCCACTTCACTATAAGAAGCCACACATAATTCTCAAAGGTGCCAGGCCAAGCAAACTATGTGGTCATCTTGCCTGTGAGCCAGACGTGAGTAATTGCACCACAGTTCAGTAAGGAATTACACTGGCTTGGGGCTGTGCTAGCTTCAATTGCCCTCTGAAGGCTGAATACAACAAACCAACCAATTAAGAGAGGTGTAGTCTAGATGAAGAGGCACTAGAATACATATACAGACCATCACAGCACCACGGGAGACAGTCTGAATTGGATTTTGAGGGACCCCTTGGGAGGGAAGGTTGGTTGATCTCTCTCTCTCTCTCTCTCTCTCTCTCTCTCTCTCTCTCTCTCTCTCTCTCTGTGTGTGTGTGTGTGTGTGTGTGTGTCTTTCTGTCCATCTCCCCCCCACACACACGCACTGAAAATCTGGCTCTCATTCTGGTGCCTTAGAAAAATCAACCAAGAGTCATATAGTCATGACACTCATGGACAGTCCTTCCTAGGAGGACTTAGATCTAGGGCAATTCAGGCTGATGGCTAAGGTCTCATTCTGTCCCTGCCCTAGACTGGTCCCACAATGATCCAGAGCTACTGGCAGAGGGTGTCCCTGCACTCTGGTGGTGGTCATTCTCTTTGCCTCACTGTCCAGTCTTTGGGTAAAGCCCCTTCCACACATTCAGTCTCCAAAGTCCCAGAGCTTTGGCCATCTCCAGACTTGAGGGTGCCTACCAGGGATATGCCAGGTCTATTAAGGGGGTCACCATCCACCCGACAGGACAACTGCTGTGACTCATGAAGCAAAGCCTAGGTTCTAGGACCATTGAGCACTCAGTACTTTATGCCCTGCAGGTCCATGCGGAAGGTGATGTGAGCCTTGTATGCTCAGTGGGAATGTGGGTAAGATCTATACCCTGGGGAGAGGTACTCCTCCATCGATCAAGGAGATAGTCTGAGGCTGCCAACTTTATTGTTGCTGGTGGCAACAGAGCTGGATGCCATCCTAGAGGCACCACTGGGGGACAGGTGAGTCTAGGTTCTCTGTGGGATGGCTGAGGGTGGAGCTTCAAGTTACACAAAGCACCAAGGACAGATCCGAGGCAACCAGCACAGGGACGGTGAAACAAACAGAGATGGCTCTCCATGGGCTGGAGAGATGGCTCAGAGGTTGCGAGCACTGGCTCTCCAGCTGCCTGATGACTTCCGCACTTGGGGCAAACATAGCTCAAGAGTCACAGAGATGGCCACCTGGAGGAGTCCCTGAGAGATGCAGCAGTCT